GTTTGAATCCGGGTTTATTTTGTGGTGAGTGGGATTTAGTAGTTTTTAGAGAGAAAAAGGAGAAAGAAGAAGAGGTGGTGAATTTGGTAGTTTTTATAGATGGAAAATGAAGAAGGGGAAGAAGAGATGGTGGGTTTAATAAATTTTAGAGAGAAAATGGAAAAAGAGGAAGAAGAAAGAAAGAGAAGAGGAAGAGAAAGATGAAGGAGTTGTCGGAGGTGGTGTTGGTGACTATCGGGGCGGTGGGGAGATGAAGGGGAAGAGGATGAGCATAGTTCTAAATCGCGGTATCGGGTAACGTAACGGTATCGATCGCGGAGTATCGGTATCGGTAGTATCGACCGGTACGTATCGGGAATCGGGTGTCGCGTCCGTGAAATTTTAAAAATCATTAACTATCCCTCCAAAATTCAATTTTATGCATTTTTTTGACTCTTTTAGTCTTAATTTGTCACATTTTAATCCAAATTTTGATAAGTAGGAACACTTTTAACTATTTTCAACTAAATGAAATGTATTTATTTTAGTCTCATTTTCACAAAGTTGTCTGAAATTTAATTATGTGTAAAATTAATTTTTTAATATTTTTTTTTTTTTTGTAAATAGTGATAGCTTTTTGTCTTTTTTAAGACATGCCAAACCAGGCCTCAGTATTCGGAGATGTTCAAGAGGGCTTGCCCGAGGGCGTATAGTCAGAGTCTGGATCCTCTGGTTCTTGTTTTGGGAGAAAAATTTTCTGAGAAAACAAACAAAAAAAACAAAAACAAAAGCAAAGTCAGGAGTGTAACGAGAAGAATGAAGGAAGAGGTATCACCGAAAAATTATTAGAAGGAAAAGGCAACCAAATTGGTACAACTCAATCAGACTCATAAACAATCAGATTTGACGGAAAATTACTTATGTGATTTGAGATATCTGGGTCTTTATGTGATTTGAGATTTGTTTCTTTGAGATTGCAGATTTGCAGATTTGAGATTGCATCTATATTGAATCTATATTTGAGATGATTGCAGATTTGCAATCTTGTCTTAATTAAATGATTTATATCTTGACCTAATTTATTAATTTTTTTTTGGGTTTGAATCTGGGTTTATTTTGTGGTGAGTGGGATTTAGTAGTTTTTAGAGAGAAAAAGGAGAAAGAAGAAGAGGTGGTGAGTTTCGTAGTTTTTATAGATGGAAAAGGAAGAAGGGGAAGAAGAGATGGTGGGTTTAATAAATTTTAGAGAGAAAATGGAAAAAGAGGAAGAAGAAAGAAAGAGAAGAGGAAGAGAAAGATGAAGAAGTTGCTGGAGGTGGTGTTGGTGACTATTAGGCGGTGGGGAGATGAAAGGGAAGAGGGTGAGTAGGTGGCTACCAAAATGAAGCTTGTCGGGGGAAGAATGGGCCTGCCAGTAATGCCTCTTCCTTCATCTTTCTCTCTGCATGCCTCTGCTTTGGTTTTTTAGTTTTTTTTTTTTGAGAAATTTTTTTAAAATGACATCGTTTTGAGATGCTGCAAAAACCACTGCTGACAAACACGACAGAGAATTCAGACTCATATAGTTATGCTTATGATGACGCGTCCAGTACGTGTACTTATACCGGGTCAGATTATTTGATCATGTTTTGTCCAACCAAGTCATAACACATGATGGTCATTGGTGATCATCACACTCATCATTATTTCGTGATTAGTATGTTTAGTGCATTTGATTTTTTTATTTTTTTTTTAACTCAATGTTATATGGTGATTTTGATATACCATGTAATATACGTATACTTTAAATTTATGAAAGAAGTTGCTATTTTTTTGTCACAACTTTTTTTTAGAGTATTGCTATTTAATCCAGACCAAAAATTAAAATAGATAAAAAATATATATAAAAAAAAAATGAGTTCATATATCATTTTTTTTATTATATATTAATTTATTAAATCTTGGGCATTCAATTCAAAAGTTAAAATTCAAATTTTGTTTGGTGAGGAATCCAGACGCCTAAATACTTTGTTAACAAGTTTCGATAAAATGATCAAAATATCCCCGGCTATATACACATAAACCAAACCCTCACACCTCACAAAAGCTGTCTTATCTTTCCCTCTCTAGTTTATGCTCTCTCTCTCTCTCTCTCTCTGCACTACACTCGCCGTCACCACCGATCGTCGTCGTCCATCCCTTACCATCCATCCCACCCATGTTGCCCATTCCTCTGCCGTGGTGTCACTCGATCTCCCCTAGGGTTTCATCATCAATGGCCGCAAACCAGAGCTAAGATTGGTGATTGAACCAGAGCACCATCATGGTTGTCGATCATCCACAAACCAGAGCCTTACTCAGATATGCTTCATCCGAACTCAGATCTATGGTTTTCACATTATTTGCATGCTTGTTTGTATTGTTTCTCTCTAGATCCATCTTTCCAGAGTTAGCCTAAGATGTTGCCCCCCTCCCCCACCAGCCCTGCCTCCACCGCTACTGCTATTGACCTTCGCACTCATCTTCATCGCAGCTTCATTCTCTGAATAAAAGTCCTTCGCTACAGCTTTTCTTCGTTTGATCTGAACCCTAACTTTCAGTGGAAAAGTCAAATCTGATAGATATATATACCTTGAAAATTGATTTAGCACACTAAAAGAAGAGCACTAAAAAAGCATTAAGGGTTGATTTGGCAAGAGCTCATTGGGTTGTTTTGGCTCAATGAGTCATAAAAGACAGAATAGGCTCATAAGCGACAACAGACAAAATATCTCATCCAACCCCATAATCATTACACTCTCTCTCACAAAAAAATCAAAAGAGCCAAAAAGACAAAAATCCTTCCCAAACTAAGCTTTTGAGCCCAGGCTCATATAGTCAAAAAAGTCAAAAAGCCAACCCACTTCCCAAACGGAGGCTAAATTATCTTTTTTCTCTTTGTGTTTTGTCTTTTTCCTCTTTTCTTTTAATTTTAATTTTTTTTTAGACATGTCACGTCATTAGAGCTGCTTTTAGTGGTCTTATTTTAATGGTTCATATAATAGTTGTATATACCTTAGTGAGAGGGGGATTTGCACCGGACAAGTGGGCCGAGCTAAATCAGGATTTAGTTCGATGTCTTGGGCCTTACAGTCGATCTAGAAAAACGCCCAGCATTGGGCCGAGGTATTCATTCAGCTTGGTCCAAGGTTGAGGTGGTAGTGATGGTTTAACCAGGCTGAGGGGTAGCTTACGATCTCAGCCGGGCAGGAGAATGGCCGAGATCGGTGACTCAACTACAAGCGGGCTAACTGCGTTGGCCCTGGCTCAAGGTTGGCTTAGGTGAGTTCAACTAGCTTGACCGAGTTGTAGATGACCGGTTGGGCATCTCGGAGCTAGGTCGGTTAGTAGAAGTTAATCTTGATGTGGGCTACCACACACCAGGTTGTTGAAAGCTAGGCGAAAATTGCCACATGGCCCAATTGAAGAGCAAAATAGGAAACTCGATGTCCGTATGCATCAATACCGTTTAGCTGTTTTGTTGATGTTGTTTAGAGTGTCACCGCACACACGTGTAAGACGAGGAGAGGATAGTATATCCACGTGTCTAGGAAAGGACAATCAAGGTAGTGCATGCACAAACTATATAAACTCCGCAGTGCCTCCATGCAAAGGTTTGCGATCTTCCTTACACAGAGCTATCTTCTCTCTAAGGGTACTAACTTGACCGTCGGAGGGATTTTCCGATAACATACCCGTCAGGTAGCTCACCATCGCTGTATTTTCAGGTTCTGCAATGTTGTTCGGAGTAACGCGAACTTGGACGTAAGGAGTACGGAAGCATAGAATATCTACTTCCCATACACTTAGTGCTATATTACCATATTGCTATATATGTTTATATATATATATATATATGATGTTGAATAGTTCTTTTTTCCCCTATCTTGTTCCCTTCTTTCTTTTCTTTTCTTTTCTTTTTTCTTTTTTTTATTTTGATGACATAAATTGCACTAGGAGAGAGAGAGAGAGAGAGAGATTTAAACAGATAAAACAAAACAATTCATGCTTCTTCTTTTTTCTTTTCTTTTCTTTTTTTGAAATTGGTTGATTGTAAAGACATTATTGGTGATCCAGATTGTTTTTGTTGTAAATTATATGAACTAATAAAAACATTTTACCAGATCAATCTATATTTCTTCTCTATTTATATCACAATTTAAACAGATAAAAATTAAACAAATATAAAAAAGAATAACAGATAAGGAAAATAAGCTTTGTGAAATTCAAGAGGGGTAAAAATTTCAACAGATAAAGGGAAAAAATTAAATAGATAATCAAAAAATTTGAACAAATACGAAATTCTTTGAATAAATAGGCAAAAAATTTAATAGGTAAGAAAATTTTGCACAGATAATCAAAGAAAGTTAATAGATATAAAATAAAATAAAAAATCATCAAATAAATTAAGAGTAAAATTAAAAACGAAATGTCCTTTAAAACAAGAAAAATAACTTCTCACCAAATTATTTTACAAATAGTGGACCGCTTATTAATAAAAAAATATTCATTGAACCTAATGTCTAACACCCTCTATAGATTAAATTTATCACCAATTTATTTTAAAATCTTTGGATTGGTTTGGCTAATTTAAGAATGCCAAACCTTTCATAATGATGTGATTGTAATTGAGTGATAAATTTATTCAAACAAAAGAAAAACCAACTACTTATGTCTAGTTTAAAAACAGATTATTTTGTTAACTTTTAAATTTTTTATGAAAAAATGTGTAAAAAAATAAAGAGATTAATATGACAACTTACAATAATTTTTTAACTTTTTAACTAATATGTATAGTTGACAAACGAGATCATAAACTTATAAAAATATTATATGAACAATGACAAGAATGAACAAAAACATTAACATCCATTTTATATTAAACTGCTCACATCCTTTTTATATTAAAAAATAAATAAAAACATGCCATGAGAGTTCTAACATTGATCTATGTAATAGAAATTTCTCTTCCAGAGCAACAATTTAATATATATTCAGAGCAGTAAGCAAACCTGATTTCATTAAATCTTAAAATTAATAATTCAAGGGCCCAATGAAAACCAGTTGTGGAAGATATCATATGAATAATGACGAGAATGAACAAAAGCATTAACAATCATAACCTCGTTTGTTCTGCTCATCTCCACAAACCACTCTTCTTTTTCTTTTTTTCCCCCCATTTTCCAGACACAATTTCTCTGCATCTGACTTTCATTTGTGAAAGTCAATCTCAATAACCGTTCCCACCCAATCTTTTTTAAAATGACCTTTGGGATGGGAAAACGAAAACCCTACTTCTAATGCACGTGCCATTTTCCTATGTAGAAAATCTATTTAAAAATAAAAAATTAGAAAAAAAAAAATTACAAACCGAAAAGGGCGGAGGAGAAAATTGAAGCTGCCTACAATTTACAGAATTCCTCTTCAGGAATTGTTACTTGAAAAACCTGATCCACAAGCGGTTATACCATGGCAATGGAAGCTCATTAGAGCCCGTGCACTGACCACCTCCACCCTCATCCTCATTGCTAAACAGGGTTTGGTCTGAGCAGTCAAGCGATGCTCCACATGCTAAGTTATACAACTGGCATGCTGAATGGCACACACGAAGCCTGTTGTCACCATCCTCGTCACATTTTTGAATTGATATCTGTAGCAAGAAGATTAATCAAAATTATAAAAGAAAAGAAAAAAAAAAATCATTCAAATTGTCATAAATTTATCATTAAAAATTCGATGACAACCCATACAGTGACCACAAAGCAAAATATTCTTTTAACTATTGCTCAACAATTACACAAACATGCAGGTGATGTGCTTGGACATGTATTATATCACCATATACAAAGCATTCATTATTTTGGAAAAACATGAAAAAACGTAGATACAAGCCAAAAACTAAGCATTTCAAACTTGGTTATTTTAAACTTGGAATAAGCTAAAAGAATTAGCAAGAAATTAACTTAACATCAAACTAGACCAATAAGAGTGGTTTCCATAAGTTCAACCAAGCACACATTTCTTCATAATCCTAAAAGAAGATTGCACACTGCCTGCTTCAACATTAAAATCCAACACAATCACATTTACAACCACAATATCCTGTGAAGTTTTTAAACCAAGTTAGTTTACAGTAACCGTCAGGCACTAACTTGCCTGGTTTATTCAGCTAGACTTTTGAGAGGGTCATATTCAACAGAAAATGCATACCTTTAGCCTCCACCAAGGTCTGAGATAAAAAGTTAGGCTTGAGGTTGGTTTGCTTAATCAACAAACAATCCAGCAGTCTTTCCAAAGGCCAAACAGATAAGTATCCTAATAATCAGCTTGGGATTTCTAGTTTTAAGAACTATAGATCTCTGCACATTCATAGGCCATTCCAATTGATACATATACTGGTCTTTGCGTGCAAAAGATTGGAATATTCAAAGCACAAAAAGGTGATACAGTCATGTTAATGGAGCACAAGGTGTTTTCCATTGTTGGGATTTGTTTCATTTCTTCGTCTTTATCTTTTGGTTGAGTTTTTGGCTTGGTTGAAGGTGTTTTCAAGCCCCTTTTGTTCAGAATTCTGGGTGAGCGATCGATCACTCTTCATTAAAAAACAGTGAGCTCCGATCGAAAGACGATCAATCACACTTGGGCAATCGATCACCCTTGGTAGATCAATCACTCTACCTATTACTTTTGGTTGAAATTTCAGTACAACGCTCTGATCAACAGCCGATCGATCTCATTTGGGCAATCAATAGCTCCTGTAAGTGCAATCAATCACATTGACTAAAAATCTGAATTAAAATCTTTTCTTGCTCTCTCTCCTCACTTCTCTTTCTCTCTCTTATTTCAAAGCTCTCTTTTCTCTCTAGAATCTTTACCCAAACTCTACAAAACCTTCGATCCACCATACTTAGAATTAGAATGTCACCGTGCTCCTTTGAGATAGAATATAGAGCACATCGGGAGCTTCATTTTGACTAGAGCCAATCGCGATTTAGGCACATTCGATTTTTGGGACCTTTCTTCTCTCTCTCTAATTCAAGGTAGGGATTCTATTACCATTGTATATTTGTTTTAATATACTTGTGTGGTATTTTGTTAGATATGAATTTTGAATAAATTGAGGATTTTGATATATATATATATAGTACAAAACTAGGGCTTGCTTTTTTTTGTTTTAAAATTAGAGATTTTTCTCTCAAATGGATAAATGGTGCTCTAATTCCAAAGTTTGATATTAAAATTGAGAAAGCCCTAATTGTTGTTCAAAACCTAAAATGTTGAGAATTGGGAGGAATGTTGTATGAGTAAAATGTTGAGAAATGAAAGACATGTTAGACTTCCTTGGAAACCTTGGATATTGTTGAATTTATTGAAATTATTCAAAATTTTGAGAATATTGGGAATGATGAAAATTATGAAAGTCTTTTGGAAATGTATGTTGATTTAGTTACGCTCTTGTATTGCCTTAGTGGAATACTTTGATAGTAATAACTATTTTGACAATTGGTGGAGGATTGCATGATTGTCGTAAAAATGATTTAGAATTTAGGTAAACGAAAACCAATTGTAAATCATGCATTGCATAGTTATTTTCATGCTTTCATCCATGTGTATCATCTATGAAGCAACGACACTTCAAAACAAGTGTCGCATCCGTGTCGGACACACGGACACTTCGAGGATACGCGGACACACCACATGGCGTGTCCCCATATTTAATTAATTTATTTTCATGGGACAGGCCAGGGACACACTAGGGACATGCCAAGTTGTTTTTTCCCCCATTTTATTTAGTGTTTTTGATGAATGTCGAATGTTTATTATTTTTCTCTTAGATTAAAATACTTAATAGATCATCCAGAAAAATAAAAATAAAAATAATAAAAAAATAGATTTTAATTTTTGTTAATATTGATTGTTTGTGGATATAATATTAATTTAGATAGCAAATAAAAATATATGAAAACATATTTTATTGTCGTGTCTCCGCCGTGTCCATGTCTCCATTTGTTTTGAAATTGTCGTGTCTCGTGTCCGTATCCATGTCCGTGTCCACATCCGCATCCATATCCGTGTCTATGCTTCTTAGTATATCATTTAACCCTTTTGAGAATGTCCTGAGGACTACAATAATAACAATTGAATTTGGTTAAATTATTAAAGTAAATAACGTGGTCAAATCCGGGATGTGTAGAAAATGTTTGCGAATAGAATTATATTGGCTTGAGTTCCTAAAAGTCCAAAAACCCGCACGGAGTCTAGTGTCCAATTGCCCTTCTGGTTAATGGCCCAAGAATGTGGATTTTTAGTGGTTCTGTATAGACTACTAACAGACACATGCCCAGAGATTTCTACTGTATTATTTATGGTTTAACAATTGTTTTATTGAACTTGATAGAACTTCGGATGTTTTGGAAAACTTGCATAGTTACATTCATGAGTAATGAAAACCTTTTCGATCATGAAATGGCATCACTTGCATTCATGATCATACTCGTGTTAATCTCATGTACATTGTTGATATTATTTCTATTAGACAATGGTGCTCATCCCTTAATGGAAAAACCATTTTCAAGTACCGATGATATTCCTCCGCCTCGTTGAAGGCTTGTGATGTGAGCACAAAGGCTCCTCTTTTGTTGTTACATTTTGTATAACTTTTGAGCTTAATTGTACGGGTAGAAACCCATCTTTTTGTATCAAGGTTCTACTCCTTGAAAGATGTAAGCCTTTGGGGCATTTTATTTGAAATTTGGTGAAATTTTGTAATAGTATCACATGCTACAAATACAGATTCAGACTTTAAGAGTTGTAAATGTGCAAGTGTAATGCATGTGACCACTTTTGTATATCTCAACTCCATGAAATGAAACTATGGAAAGGAGATTTACTTTAATTATGATTATCATTGAATATTGAGTATTGTTTAGGCTTCCGCACATGTATTATAATTGGATTTTATCTGAACGATGAATATGGGCTTGATTCTCATTTAATCAGATTATACAAAAATTGGTGCATTATAGCTTCTTTCATTCAATTTGTGGTTGTGTCAATTGAATAAGATTTAGATTCAAATTGAACTTTTGTTTTGATGGATTCATGGAATAAGTCAACAGGATCAACGCCACTTTCAACAAAGGGATCAACGGAGGCTCCCGCAGCCACCTCCACCTCTACATCCCTCCCTCTCCACTCACCCGTCACCACCTCCCCAACCCCCTCCACCTCCCTTTCTCTTGCCTTCTCTCATCTCACCTCCAATCCACATACGACGGCCCACTAGTGTCTCTACCCTGTGATGGTGACAATGACGAAGGTGGCGAGGGGTTTGATCTCTGTAGGTGCTGGTAGGGGTGAGCTATGGTGGTGGTGAGGGGGCAGAGGTGGTGCTGAAGAGGTGTGCCAGTGTTGGTCTCTGTTTTGTGGTGGCCGAAGAGAAAAGTAGGAGTGATGAATGGACACACACACACACACACACAAAAAGGAAAATAAATTAAAGGGGGTAATTAGGCAAATCAAATTTAATAGTAGGGGTAATTAGGTAATTTCCTGTTTTCTATTAAGTCTGTTAGTTGAGTAAATCTGACGGGTGAAATAATTTTGCAAAAACTCGAGAGGTCAGTGTAATTTACCTGTTTTTATTTTACAACGTTCGAGAGAACCATGGCAAAACTTTTAATATTGTGAAATTGCCTATCGTATTGATTCAGTGGAAAAACAGAAGGTAACCTAACCAGAGGGAATCTCAGGCACTAGCAAGTGAATATATGCATCTTAAAATTAACAAACAGTGTAACACTGCCAGTAGATTTGCTCTGGAGGACCAAAAAAAAAACCTAGACCATGTGATATAGACAACTTCATGTGGATTTTTTTTTTTTTTGGAACGAGGCTTTATGTGATTAATATGTAAAGATGAAGCAACTTACCCAACAGGCTAGCTGCTTAGCAGCTGCATCACAGTAGCTGCTTTTAAAAAAAGGAAACCTCCTCCAAGAAGTGCCAATTGGGAACAATCTGTTATAGTTGGGCATCACAACAACAACTTCTAGCTGCTGCAATATACTTGATTCGCTTGGTGCACAATGTTGTCCAGGTCCATCATTCTCTAGCACATTTTTGCAAACGGATAGACTAGAGACCATCATGGAGCTGTTCTGGCATGTGTAGCCAGCATAGTCCGAACAACGGAACTCACATACTCCATTATCACAGACCCCTCCATGAAGGCTGCATTGTTCATCACAGACAGCTGTACATCATACCAAAGCACAATATTATGCAGAGAAAAGCAATAAGTTTTGTCATGTTTGTGTGTTTGTAGAGGGAGGAGGTGCTCATCAATGCATTGAAATGTGATTCTACTTCTCAATGCATATGCATAATGGTCACCCTCCCCAGCCAACCGTGCTAATAGTCAAAACTTCTCATGCACACACATAATTGTCACCCTACTGAGTCAACCAGCGCATAATTCATGCTAAAAGGACAAGTTTAGCAAAAACGTATGTTTCAGGCCGTGTGATTAGTGTAATTATTGAGATATGGCTCATCCAGTAAAGGTCATAGAACATCTGAAGCCTACATTTAACGAAGACTATGTGTTATATCTTTTCATAAACAATAAAATGTGTCTAACAAATGTAACTTTATTACAAAAACAAAAAAAAATAAAAATAAAAGGTCTAAAAATATAGCATTACCTGTAGAGCAGTCAATGCCAGTGTATCCATTTTCACATTCGCAGACACCATTTTGAAGGCACTGGCCATGTCCATTACAATTGCTAGGGCAGTAGCCTGCAAATAAAACCTTCATCAGCAACTCAAAAGAAAACTAAAAGGGCAGAATTGCACGGGCATGTAATTTCAACAGACTGCAGAATGGAGGAAGAGGCATAAAGAGCTCACGTCTACTACAATCATGGCCATGGAACCCTAGAAAGCAGTGGCAGCTTCCATCAACACAGTCTCCATTGTAGTGACACAAATTGGGACATTGCCCAGATACAGGGATTGGGTCCATGCTGCATAGTTCATGATTAGCTGGGCAAATCAGCTCACCTACAGTTTAATTAAAAACACACACACACACTTGAGATTTGGGAAGCATGGATAGATATTTGGCAATAACAGGAAAAATGGAAGGAAAAAAATACCACTGAACCCAGGAAAGTGAACTGCTCCACCAGCTTCAGGACATACTTTCCAAATACCATCCACAGCAACCTAAAAAGAACACGTTCATTGTTATATTGGAAGAAATATCACATCAGAAATGGAAAATTTGCAATTCAAAGGCCAGTCCTTTAAGTCATACAACATGACCAAAAACACAGCCTAATCATTCAAGAAACTTTCATTATTTAAAGATAATTGTCAAAAAATAGCGGGGCTTGTTTGGTTTGTTTTTGGGAGAGTTGTTTTTGAAAAAAAATTTGGGGAGAGAGTTTAGAAATTTTTTTGGTTTGTTTGGTTGTATATTTTGGGAGAGTTGTTTTTTTGGGAGTTTGGAATGATTTGATATTTTGGGAGAATTTGAGTAGATGTGTGTGAGAGAAAAAGTGATTGAGAAGGAGAGAGGAGAGAGAAAAAGTGATTGACTGATGTGTAAGAGAGAGAAAGTGATTTTGGAAATTTTTTGAAAAAAACTCAAACCAAACAATTTTTTAGAAATTTTTTTCTAAAACTCATCGCCCAAATGCAAACCAAACATACCCGCTGTCTTTTACAAATTCATACCAATCCAGAGAATTTGTATAATTTTGATGTAAAAGATTTATATGCAGATAAGTTCACCATAATTGCCCTAAAACAGACAATATAGCTAACATCCATTGAAGAAAAAAAGTTAAAAATTGTAGTCAAACAACTACAATTTCTTTGCAGTCAACATATCCCCCTCTCAACATGCTGCTACCAGGATCTAATCCATATGCATCAAATCAATAAAGCGACCTAATCCACATGCATCAAATCAATAAAGCATCCAAGTAACAGAAACAAACATTAAAGGTTCAAATTATACCTCTAGTGAGTTATTTATACACCTGTGCTGATAACAACCATTTCCTTGGATCATAGAACCCCTTACAAACCCAGTTCGTACTAATGATGAGGCCATACACCTATATCATGATGAAAGAAAAATTATTCCAGTGTGAATTGCAAATTTGAGAATCCCATCAAGGTTCAATTAGTAAATCTCACCTCGAGCTACTTCCTCTCACCTCACCCAAAATTCTGTCAGGTGCCCGAGCACTATTTGTGTCCGTACATGATCCATCAGAATAAGCTACATAATAAGTGCAATAATCAGCTAATGATGACTGCCCACCTGCAATCACCAAGAATGATAGTCAATAGCAAGCCACAATTAAGGCCCAAACCACTACTGCTATTTCTATAATGGTTTCTAGCATGCATATAAAAAAAATTATATGACTTCGCACACAAAAATAAATAAATAAATTCATCACTACCTAAATTTAAGTGATTAGCAGCCAGAAGTGCAATATCTGAGCTCATCAGAAGTTAGATTATAGTTATGTAACTAGAAACAGAAGCAGAAAATGATAGAAGCAGAGAAAAAAAAAATATAGAAGAAACGGGAAGTGAGGAAACAATCAAGAATCAAATGTGAATCCCAATAAGAATCTTATAAAAAACTTCGCAAAATATAAAGAAAACCGGCACAAAAAGGCACTCTTACAACTAAACCACTTCAGCATTTTAATTTGTGGATACATCAATAAAGTACAATGAATGCTTAATTTAATTGTAAGGTTAAAAAAAAAATGTACCTAAAACGAATCTTGTGTATTATTATAGATTAGAAACTATCACTTTTATATTAGAGAACTATCACCATGTTTGGTTCCAAAAAATTGAGTTTTCTTTTCCTTTTTTTATTTTATTTTATTTTTTTTAGTGAAATTTTTAAATATTTTATGCAAATTTTTTATTTTTAGATACACCTAATCCAAATACGCTTAAAAGGTATAATATTGGTGAAAAAAAATTCACCAATACAAAAAATACAAAATATATATATACGAAAGTTCGATACATTTTCGTATTTTGTTGTATTCAATGAATTTTTTAAAGATTTTCGTACAATTTTTTTAGTTTTTAAATTTATTAAGATTAAGTGAATCTAAAAAAATTTAAAAAAAAAATTTGATTAAAATATTTTTAAAAAATATTAAAAATACAAAAATACAAATTAAAAACTCAGAAAACTATTTTTGAAAACTCAAAAACCAAACAAAGTGATTAAGATTCAAAGTATATATGGAATAGGAAGCACATAGAAAATAAATTAGAAACTGTAGAAATTCAATGTATAAAGAGAAATAGATTATTGATTGATGTTATATTGATATTACAAGGCTTCCTATTATATAGGAGAGGATTTGGGAGTAGGTGAGTGTGTGTGGTAGGTGTAGGAAAGTAGGTGAAGTAGGTGAGTGTGTGTGGTAGTGGAGGTGGTAGGTGGAGTGGGTTATGGTAAATTCTAACAGAAACACTTCCATATTACAGAACTATCAAGATTTAAATTATAAACCAAGTACAAATCTTGAGTTTCAAATATTCTTTAGAAATACTTTGAAGATCTTTGTTGCATTTACTAGGCGTAAATGACTAGAAAAAAAAAAAAAAAATCAATTTTTTTTTTTGATAAATAAGCAAGCGACCTTCATTAAAAAAATCAATGAAGTTGCAACCAACCAATTTAGTAAACTCATCTTAACATAACATATTTCACTCTAAATTTCTATAATAACTAGTAGTTAATTACTTTTTTTTTTATTATTAATAAAAAAAGGAAGCGAGGATGAGGCATCCTCTTACAAAAGGACAATGAGAATATAAAAAATGAAACCCTAACAAGCTAATCATGAGCAAAAGCCTACATATCACACACCGCCAACCAATCCCTAGCTCACAAAAAGAGTGGAACTCCCTTAAATAAAGAGCTCCCCGACACCCAAAAAGAAGTTAAGTGACGAACATTATCCCATAAACAGCCCACCTCTCGGAACTAATCTTCAAACAACCTCACATTTGTCTCCATCCATAGAACCCAAAAAGTTGCGCAGACGGCACAAGACCATAGCATTTTGGCTCTCTTTGATCCTCCAAATATGCAAAAATCAACTAGGAGCATATGGACACTCCCTTTTGGGGCTACCCACATAACATTCCCCAAAGAAAACAATCTATGCCATAAATTCAAAGCGATTGGACAATGCAAGAATAAATAATCCACAAATTCCCCCATTCTTACAACACAGAATGCACCACTGAAGATTTAGAAAACGATTCACTATGCTTGGTTACCACTTTTCAAAAACACTTTTCAGAAAATTCTAATTTCTTATTTTTCGTGTTTTTTTGTTTTAACTGAATTTTTTAATATTTTGAGCAATTTTTTAATTTTTAGACATAGCTAACATAAATATACCTAAAAAGTAAAAATAAATTGAAAAAAACCTTTTAAAAATTCACTAAATACCAAAAATACAAAAAAAATACGAGAATTCAGTACATTTTTTGTATTTTTATGTATTTATTAATTTTTAAAAATATTTTTTCACAATTTTTTTACTTTTTAGATACATCTAAGTAAGGTGCATCTAAAAAATAAAAAAAAAAATGTTAAAAATTTTAAAAATATTCACTAAAAACAAAAAAAAAACACGAAAACCAAAAAACTCAGTTTTCAAAAAACTTAATTCAAAAAACTCAAACCAAACACATTTATTAGGTCTCCGTTTCTGCAATGTATCATTTGTCAAAATGCCTCCATGAATTAGGGGTGCAACTTGGGCGGGCTCAACCCGAGCAACCCGAACCCAGTCCGAATTTTTTTCGAGCTTCAACAAGATATTTTTAAATTTGGTACGAGCTTGGGCAAAAATTCAGAAACCCGAATTAAATTTGGACGGGCTTGAGCAAAGATTTCAAACAACCCGAACAACTTGAAATCCGAATTATACATATATAGATATATAAAAATATTAAATATATATAAATTATTAGTCATTACATGATATTAAAGTAATTTAAATTATTAAATCATATTGAATATATATTATATATACAAATAACATAAAATCTTACTTTTTCCTTATTTTCACTCATAAATTGTCAAAACTACTATAGCAACATCTCTCTTACATTATATAAATTATTTGTTTTGATGGTATTAATGATTTTCTATATAAAAAAAATGTAAATAGAGTCAAATTTTAATAATTTAATAATGTAGCTAGGAAAAAAAAAAAACTGAAATTTATTTACAATTCGGGTTTAATACTATAGCAACATCTCTCTTACATTATATAAATTATTTGTTTTGATGGTATTAATGATTTTCTATATAAAAAAAATGTAAATAGAGTCAAATTTTAATAATTTAATAATGTAGCTAGGAAAAAAAAAAAAACTGAAATTTATTTACAATTCGGGTTTAACTCAGGTCGGGTTTGGACATGCAATCTCGGATTACAATTCGGGCCTAGGCGGGCTTGGACAACCGACCAAACCCGCTTGAGTTGCACCCCTACCATGAACCAAGGCCCACATGAACACCTTTACCTTTAAGGGAGCACAAGCCTTCCAAACTTTTTTGCAAAAAGGAAACTAAGGAACATAAGGATTATCACTGATGTAATCAAAAAAAGACTTACAAGAAAATATCCTGGACAAATGAAGTGTCCAAACCCTCTTGTCCTCCAAAAGAGGAGATAAAGAAAAATAATCAATTTTGAATAATAAAGAAGTCAACTGTGAAGCCTCTCTATCATTAAGATTTCTAAATTGGAGTCAAAAGTGAACAAGCCATGGAAGCAATTGAAGAATTATGAGATCAAGTCACTCTATATAGATGTGAGAAATCAGCAGCAAAAGAAGATTGACCCATCCAAACATCCTCCCAAAATCGAACAAGTTTCCCATTGCCCACCCTTACAGAAAGATGACGAGACCAACATGTGAAAATTTAAGAAATTAACTAGTAGTTAATTACAACCAACCAATTAAGTTAGTAGTACAAATCTTACTTGAATGCTAGCATGGCAAGTGACAAGTTAAATTAAGGCTAAGTTTGGCGTAACCTAAATAATACAAAAAGTCAAAAAGTCACTATCCTATTTAAGTCACATCATCTTATTTAAATCACATCACCTCTCTAACACATCACATCAAACCCAATCCAAACCCAACCCAAATAAGCCAATAAGTCAAAAAGTACACTTTTTTAGAACAACCCAAACCAACCCTAAACTTTACTAAATTTCATTGAGTCTTATAGTTTTATTTTATTAAATTTTTTAGATCTATGAGGCTTATTGGAATTTCTCAAATACTCTCCTTGGACATTTTTACATATTTTTTGAAGCCCATTCATTTATATTTACTACAAATCTCTCAAAACTAATCCATAAAAATTCCATTAAGTTTCCAAGTAGTTTCTTCAAAATTTCATTCCAAAACATTTTCCAAAAGTGTCCTAAATGGTTCACTAATATATTCAAAAGAGATCCCATATTAGAAGTAAACTTCCCCTATCAAATAGAGTTTGTTAGCAATTTCACTAAACATAGGAAATTGGTCAGCAAAAGCCTCCCTCAAGTTTTAATATTTCCAACAAGTCAGGACCTATGTTACCTGGAATATGGATCGTTCTAATACATGGAACGGGAACGGGAAACGGGAATGGGAGCATAATACGCCACATGCTCTAAATTGTAGTATGATAGTGATAGGCTTACATAGTTTACACAATAAGAATTTAAGGTAATTTAGAATAGAGAAATTTTTTTAACAATTAGACATCCAACAAAGGTAGATTTTTTTCCAAATTAATATATGCCTACACAGTTTTATGAACATTATGACTCCCTGTTTATATTTTGTCACGTTAAAATTTCACTCACCTTAGATTTTAGTTCATTGTATTTGATTTTTTTACTCTTAAGGAAACCTTTAGGAAATATATTGGAACAAACTTTTGGGATTGCTTTGGATCGCCAAATTTACCATTTTGGAACGAAAGTGTACCATGTTTCAGAATGTGTATTCCAAAACGTAATTCACTAGGGTATCAAGGGTTTTTGGTAACACAGATCAGGACCAAAATCAACAATTGTGTCTAGAGGAAGGGATTTATATCAGAGGCAATCCTAGGTTAGCAAGATTCTACTATCCAATTAATTTATGCTTGGTAGGTCAATATTGAGCAACAATAACAATTTGCTAAATATTCCAAAATAGGTGGATCGAAGTTTTAGTCTTCGATATAGCTGCACATGAATGTTTCAAACACATGATATAATGGGATCAATAGAATGAAAATGAATAAATGCAAATGCAGAAATGAGGGGCAAAACAAATACACAAATTTAAGGTGAAAAACAAAGCTCAAAAACAAACCTTTGTTAGCCTGTGGAAAATAACGAGCCCACTGAGGAAGGTCTCCGCTATAATTTACGATCGGACAGTAACCCTCTGCCTCCCTGTTATATGTGCACCCAGATAACTGTGTCATGTTGCAATGGTATGCCCCCTTCCAAAGATTGCAAGGGAAGGTAACAAATTCAGCTCCTTGGTTGCGGCCCCAGTCAAGATGGCCGGCCATGCTATAATTAGCCTGATACCATCCACTATCCTCTAATAAGGCCAATGTCATTTTTGAAACCACTGATCGTGTATCCACTGAGCCTGTCATGATCTCATTCATCAGAAGCCTTTTCTCCCAGTGGGATCCTGAAGCAAATTGTCAACCACATATTATTTGTAGAACTGCCGAAGTGCACTACTTTACCAGCAGCATTGACAGTGGATGCTCCAATGTCCTTTGCATCGAAGTCATGCAAAATATACAAGTACTTTGTGTTTACAAACTATTTTTGCATATAAATTTTAAGATATTCCTTTTTCCACATATTACCTGCACACCAACTAACCAATCACTTCTACCAATATTTTACTAAGCATTGCATAATGGTTTAGAAATGACAAGCTAATACAAATACTGACGGGCTGAAATGAATCAACAAAATAACACCAAATACCCACTTGAGAACTAAAACAAAAGGATAAGGAAAAACAACCTGATGTACCACGCCCACCTCCATCTTCTAGCTCCAAACCAGTGAAATTCTCAGAGAATGCCTGTCAATAAACACTCATCAAAATGTTGGTCGTTTCCCTGGAATCTTTGCTTTACAGGAATTCAAGGTCACAAATATCAAGATAAGTTTAGGCAAAACACATACCCTCACAAACATTAATTGTAAGCAAAAAGTATCAATAAAATCAAGAAGTAATCAAGTACCCCATAATGACAGCGTGAATGCATAACAACACGGGGAAGCACAACACGTGTAACCATCCGTCCAAGCTTTTCATCTATGACTTGCTCGGTAACCTAAAAATGCAAATAACAAGTAAATTGGGTTACAAAATAGTATAGAATAAATAAGATACCATGCGTGTGACAATAAAATTTATCAAAAATATATATATATGTGTGTGTGTGTGTGACAATAAACTTGAATAAACGAAAGACATTTTGACCACAAAGTATTTGCAAACTGACATAGGTTCCATTGATTAAAAATGACCAGAAAATAAATGAGTCATTGTGTTATACTTGTCCAACATATCCTTCACAAGCCACCCAAGTTTGGTCCATATACTCCAGGGGCTACTACACTCATTTACCAATTGGTTTTGACTTGGATGCTTTAACACATGCAATACTTTTTCTTTTTCAATTGTATAATCTTCTATGAACCAATCCATCTAGATGGTGCTGACCACAAAGCACAGTTCCAAAAAGCTGGATGGAGTAGCTGCTCAATATGTTTGGAAAATGGTTATATTCTGAAAACACACATTAATTCAAGATCAAGGATGCTGCAGGGTTGGCACATCTGCAGGTAGGGTTCATATTGATGGCATATTTAAATAGCGCATACAAATGGATGCTAAATGAGGTAAGACGAAATTTCACAATTCCATTAAAGAGATGTGAACTTATTGGCCTTCAATGATTTTTTTTGTGGAAGTACTAAAGAAAATCAAATAGGACTTTTAAATCATAAATCTATAAATTATCTACAACATTGTATGCTTGAAGGTGCATATACAGAGAACTTCTCAATCCAAGCAAATCCAAAAACCCAGCATTTAGCCAGGGATTAGCTGGTGTAGAGATTGCATTTTCATAAAATTGTAAAAGAGACCATAGGTACTACTATCTGAAGATTACTTATATCATTGTTCAGATGGAGGACCTCATGCGACAACGGAATAGTATTTACCTGGTTACGCCTTCTTTTCCTCTCATCCCGAAAATGAGCAAAAGCATGGGGATCAAATCCAAGAACATGCATAACCTGGAGAAAGTGAAAACTTGCTGATCAAAGAAAAAGAACTTCCATACGTTTATTGTTTACATCAAGAAAAGCCACCTCACCTCATGTACGAGTGTAGCTGAAAGTAAGGTTTCTGCTTCAGCGGTCAAATGGCGAGGAGCAACATTCACATGTCCTAAATATAGAACAGTGTCATTAGTAGTTTAAAATTATAGTGTCCAAGGAAGAATTGCTCCATGAGCAATTACCAGCTATCGCACGACCCCATTGATCACGCTCACACGCCACAGCCCATGCTAGGGTGTTTCCTGTTGTAGGTCTTGCAGTTACCAGAAGAACTAAGTCTGCATCAGCAACTCCATCTGTAAAAGAGAAAATGAAACAAATAAGAAAGGTTGCTTTTAACCATAACAGGAGAAAAAATAAATAGTCAATAACTTCAAAACTGCTAGGATGCATAGTAGTAAATGACAAGGTAGACAGCCATTTGTTGAAACATATATACCTTCTACGTATTCCCGTGGAAGTTGTACACCCCCATCTTGTCCACATGCAGAATATCCACTCAACCGCAAGTTCCCTTTCACAGGATCAACAGCTAATGCTCTTCTGAACCAGTCTGCTGTCTGCCCTAGAGCCTGAATTAAGCTAATTCTGTAAATAAGTATCTTCTTTACTAATAGTGGTAATCTGAACTACAATCTTCATGGACCAACACAGAAAAAATCGAGGTAGCATGGAACAAGATATAACTGAAAACTAAAAAAATACAAGCATTGTATAAAATGATGGGCTCCAACAAACAAATAAATATATCCAACTATAATGCTTACAAATAGTTTGCACCAAAACATCTACTTAAGTAGCATGCACCTTATTCATAAAAACCAAACCAAACCAAGCTTTAAATCCCATCAAATAGGGTCGGATGCATGAATCCTTCTTCTCCACTCGACTCTATTCAAGGCCATTTCATTAGTGAAGATTCATATTTCTATTTACTACACTAGTCCACGTCAATATAGGTCTACCCCTTCCCTTAATACTGCCATCTACTGTCACTATATTGCATCTCTTCACCAATGTTGTGAAAGGCGCGCCTAGGCGAAAGGCACAAAGGCTGTGACTGAAGGGACCCAAGGCAAGGCGATGTGGATGAGTTGTGCACCTTGCTTAGCCTTGGATCAGGCGTGAAAATGCGCAAGGCAACGCTTAAGCGAGCCTTTTATTTATTTATTTATTTTTCCCTGATGCTTATCTAATGGCTCTAATATGAGTTTGCAAGGGTCCAACCACATAGGATTACAACTCATACAACTCAATACCCAAATCAATTGACAACTTAAAGCCCTAAAATCGATCGAAGAAAGCTTGAGGTGGTGTCTCTTCTCTTCCTCTGGGCTCGTCGCAACTTCGTCTTTGATTGAGGATTGCAACTTCGTCTTCAGGTTCGTCTTCTTCTTCTTCGCTGTGCTGCTTCGATTCAATTTATTTTATTTTATTTTTTTGCTGCTTATTCGCTGTGCTGCTGGGTTTTTTTTTCCTTCTCCTTCTCCTCCCTCTTCTTCTTTGTTGGGTGCTGTCGTCTCTGTTTTTTTTTTTTTTCCCTACTTCTTCGTTGCTGCTGCTGGGTGGTTTTTTTTCCCTTCTCCTTCTCCTTCTCCTCCTCCTCTTCTTTGTTGGGTGTTGTTGCTGCTGTTGGTCTGTTTTTTTTTTTTTCTTGCTTATTCATTGCTGGTCTGGCTGGCTGTTCTTCTTCTTCTTCTTCTTTTTTGTTTCTTTGTTGTATTTTTTTGCTCTATTTTTTTTTTTTTTTTTTTTTTTTTTTTTTTTTTTTTTTTTGCCTATGCCTGTTTTTTCTTTTACAATTATGTCTCTGTTTTGAATCTCTCTGTTACGAAAAAAAAATCACAAATAATTAATTAATCACACATTACATTACACTAAAATTAGTTTCCATTTATTAAATTTGTTGTGTAGAAAATGACATTTGAAAGTAATAGAAAAGATCCGGAGTGAAAACATGCCCATTTGATAGAGCCCAATAACTTAAATAAGTTTGAATGTAATTTTTGTGGTAAAGTATCGAATGAAGGTGTTAATCGGATGAAACAACACCTCCTGGGAGATTATAGGAATGTCACTGCTTAGTCGAAGTGTCCAACTCATGTAAAAGAAGAGATTAGAGAGTTCATGTCAAAAAAGAAGACGCAAAAAGAAGAAATGAACATGTTGCCAGATTTTGATGACATGGACATGAAAGATGAAGATGAAGATGAAGATGATGATGTTGTTAAGATCAATGGCAATCAACGCCGTAAGTTGACAAGTAGCAGCCAAGGTTCATCCAAATTCAAATAAAAAATGCCAAAAAGAAAAGGGCCTATGGATGTTTCTTCACACCAAATCCTGAATCAGTGGTAAAAAATCGAAGAGACCAGGCAAAAGGGAAACAAACACAAATTGATGAGAATAACCCTTACAAAAAAGAAATGAGAGTTCAGGCAGTGCAAAGATTTGCAAGGTGGATGTATGATGCTAGTATCCCTTTTAATGCTGTAAATTATAAGAGTTTTGGACCAATGATTGAAGCCATTGGACAATATGGTCCCAGCATGAAGCCACCAACTTACTATGAAGTGCGGGTTATCCAACTCAAAAAAGAGGTGAAACATACTGAAGATTTGATGAAGAATCATAAAGAGGACTATGCAAAATACGGGTGTTCTGTAATGGCTGATGGCTAAACTATATTCAACGGATGGGCAGAAGCAATTTGAATTACTAGACAAATTTGTAGAGAAAGTTGGAAAAGAGAATGTGGTGCAAGTTATCACTGATAGTGCAGCAGCTAATATGTTGGCTGGTAAGAATCTTGTCTCCTTCCTTACTTCAAAATTGTTTACTCATAGTTTGTTTCGTAGTTACAATTTAAAAACTTGAAATAATAATTCTTTGTTACATTATAGGGAGGTTTTTAGAAGCTAAGTATGAACACTTATATTGGACACCATGTGTTGCTCATTGCTTGGACTTGATGTTAGAAGACATTTTCAAGATACCCCGATTGAAAAAGACATTTGAGTGGGGCATTGCAGTACATGACTACATTTACAACCGCCCTACTTTGCTAAACATGATGAGGTGCTATAAAAATCTCAAGAATTTGATCAAGCCTGCAAAAACTAGATTTGCAACCGCCGTTCTGACTTTGTCTAGGATGCATCAACATAAAAACAATTTGAGATAAATGGTCACCTTCGAAAACTAGACCTCAAGCAAATGGGCAAAGAAGCCACAGGGTAAAAAAATGACACAAACTTTGTTGATGCCTTCATTTTGGAATAATGTTGTGTTTGCCCTTAAGGTCTCGGGTCCTCTTGTTAAAGTGCTTAAATTGGTTGATACTGAGAAGAAAGCTCCCTTGTGATACATTTATAAGGCAATGTACAGGGCAAAAGAATGCATTGCAAGTTCGTTTGATCATAAAGAAGACAAATATAATGCAAGTTTCTAGGCCTCAAGAAACCTTCAGTGCCTTCGTGTGCCTAGAGCCTTTAATAAAACTGCTCTTCACTACTTCTGTTGGTCTCCGTTGTATATGACCAAAACCATCTCAATTTATTCTCTCTTAACTTATCTTCTATAAGTACAACTCCTACCCATTCTCGAATTACTCATTCCTAACTCTATTTTTTCTAGTCTTACCACACATCCACTCTAACATCATTATCTCAGTAATACTCATCTCATCTACATGTTATTTCTTAGTTGTCTAACATTTCGTCCCATACAACATCGCTGGTCTAACAGCCGTTTTATAGAACTTCTCTTTTAGCCTAGTGGGTATTCGGTTTTTGCACAATACTCTAGACGCCCTACTCCACTTAAGCCACTCCGCCTTAATTTTATAGATCACATCCGCTCCAATCTCCCCAATCGTTGTGATAATCGATCCTAAATAACAAAAATTTCCACTCTTAAGTAGTTATTGGTTCTCAATCTTCACATTTCCTCTGCTTTCGTTGTGACTGTTACTAAAACTGCACTTCATATATTCTATCTTAGTTCTACTTCTCCTGAATCCTTTAGATTCAAGTATTTTTCTTCAAATCTCCAACTTAGTGTTAACTCCTTCTCTAGAGTCATCCATTAATACGATATCATCTGCAAAAATCATACACCATGGCACATCATCCTGAATATTGCGCATCAACTCATTCATAACTAAAGCTAAAAGATAAAGACTTAAAGTCTATTCCTAGTGTAACCCTACAGTAATTAAAAATTCACTCATCTCTCCAGCAGGCAATTTAGTAGTGATCACCACACCTTTATACATATCCCTAATCACATCAATGTAATCTTTTGTCACCACTTTCTTCTCTAGCACCCATCAGAGTATATTCCGAGGCACTCTACCCTATACTTTCTTAAGATCGATAAAAACCAACATACTATGTAGATGTTATATTTGTGTGTATTAATTTGAGTGTAATATTGTCAAGAAATAAAGACGACCAGTTAAAATAAAATAAAAATTGAAACAAAAGTATTACCTTTCGAAGGCGATGTCTTTTGTCAGACCCAGATATATCATCCAAAGTGCAGTTATACCAGCAGTCACCCAAAATTGGAGGATCAACATGAGGATTGCAACATGGAACACCGCGACCAGGATTCAGAAGGGGCTCACCAAGCTGATTAATGAAAAATAGAAGGCAAAACATCAACGTTTGCTCCACATCCACAACTCATGACAAGCCAGAATTTTTACATGCATTATGCTTGCCTTAACTATTTCCCCGACATTTTGACAGTCTCTATCTGGTGAGAGACCAACAGCATCATAATTTAAATAAATTCTAATAGGTTGCTTATCTCCATTTTGTTGCTCTGGAATTTCGGAAAGTCCAAGCAATGCCCTTCCCTTCCGATGAATGGGTTTTGACATACCAAAACCCCCATAAACCTGTGGGCTAACATAATACACCTTGCGACCTGGTCGCCTCCTTCGTTCAAGTATCTCATCGTGAATGCAGGAATGTGATATAATGTTCTCGCCACCATTTTCCTTGCCTTGCCTCAATTGGTGTTCTTGAGGTTTTGAATAAACAGCTTCCAGCCATACCAATATCGATACAATCTAGAATGGAGGCAGACAAAATTAACGTAAAAAAGAAATATATCAAATCGATATACACAAATCAATTAACTAATTCTTGGTTGAACCAATCCTTTGGCTCAAATCCATGGGGAAGGCATACACATAACATACAAATACATTCATATATACAAAGCTTGATAAAAAAATTTGACCAGAAAAACAAAAAAGGAGTAAACTTTCTGCCACAGATGCTTCCTTAATTAATTTATGAACAATAGCATTAATGAATACCAAAAATAAAGACAGGAAAATACTCAATGGAAAAGGAAAGACAAGATCAAACAAGAAAAAGAAATAACAAAAATAAACAACTTCAAGCATACATATATTGTCCACAACAACTTCCCGATTTCTGAAATCAATTGCTCCGACATCTAAACCCTAAATCACACGGTGAATAATGGGAAAGAACAAAAAACACGAATATGGAAATTTCGGAAAACTGATAACTGTTAGGTGAGGGTTAGAGCGCCAGTCTTCAGACTACAACGTTTTCCTTTCTTATTTCTTGCAGTTTCTAAGCAACCGAACGGAACATACAACTCTACGTTTCAAATTTATTCTCCCAGCATGTGGGTAAAAAAGAAAAAGAAAGAAAACTGAAACCAAAACCCTAAATCTACATCTGTAACAGCAATAATTACTGTGTAGAGAAATTAAAGGCCATGAGAGCTAACCTCAAAAACAACAACGGCGAATCGAAGATTGGTTCGAAACAACCTGGCTTTCGGAGAAACAACACATCGACCACACAGAATCTTTAACTCCATCAAACAATGTGTTCAGCAACAACAACAATTCCATCAAATCGCCGGCGATTTTCCAATCGGCTCCACCACCGAGAAAAATCGCAGGCTTCCCCGCATTTCAAATAAATACAAGAAGTATATATGAGAGAGAGAGAGAGAACAATTTCTATACCTGTATGAGCCGTTCTGATTCGAAAGAGTATCAGAAGAAGAAAGAGGACTATTGGGGGGTCCTTGAAATCTCAGAATACGACTCGTCTTTGAGGTGGAAGAAGGTAGGTAGTGTTGTCTCTTAACTGTCAGTGAATTATATATATGCTAGCGGCTGAGGATTATTTCAGTATTTTCCGAATATGGGCCACACGCGGTAGTTTGATTGGCGAAGAGATAGCAGAATTAAGAAAAATGCGTTAGTGCGCCCACTAATTAGGTGGCAGTGGGTCCTGTTATTAATGATGTGATATTTTGATTTGAAAAATGTTTGGGAGTACTAAAAAAAAATAAGAAAATTCATTACATTTTTCATATTTTTGCGTATTTATTAAAATTTTAAAATATTTTTTCATAAATATTTTACTATTTAGATACATCCAAGTAAGGTGCACCTAACAAATTAAAAAAATTGCGTGAAATTGTAAAAATATTCATTAAAAACAAAAAAAAAATATGAAAAATAAAAAACTCAATTTCTAAAAAATTGAATTCAAAAAATTGAAACCAAACACATTAAATAATTCCACCATATGGTGATGGAGGTGGAGGTGGAGGTGGCGGCAGTGGTGATAAAGAAGAGAGAGAGAGAGAAAAGAGTGAGGAAGTATGAGTGTGAGTGTTGTTAGGATTTAGACTATGTATATAATATATATATATATACACTAGCAGTCAAGACACACGCAATGCGTGTATAAATTAAAAAAAAAATTATATTATGTAATTTATATATATTTTATAATAATACATATGTATTATAAGTGCAATGTAATGCAAGTTAAATATTTCTAACTATGTGCAATATAACATTTGCTTTTAATATATTTCATAAATAAAATATGTACAACATAATATATATATATTTTTTATAATAAAAAAATATAATATTTCCTAATTTTCAAAAAATAAAATAAAATAAAATAAAAAACTATACATTATGAATTCATAAAACATCTCAATTTGGCATTGACATGAGAGTGAAAATTACAAATCCTGCAAGCAATATATAAGATACATTAAAAAATTAGTATTTTTTTTTGTTTGTTATATAAACATTAAAAAAAATTATATTAAATTCAAAAATAAATGTACTTTAATCAAAGATTACAGCATAACTTTGCTTTTGCAATTGGCTAATTGTGTTATGTATGAAGATACAAAATGTAAACAATTGTAGAATTTAATTTTAGAATTTATGTATGACTAAGATGTATTTTGATAGGAAAAAATAAATTATAAATAAACACCATTTTTTATAACTAAACAATTATAGAATTTATATTTAAAAAAAAATCACTGATAGAACACTTACAGTAAAAGAGAGGTAGTGTTGTTAGATAACCCCTAGAGAAGTTATTAGTTTTGAACAATACAAAATTGGAAAGTAACTGGCAAAATAAAAAATTTATTAAAAAAAAAAATTAGTGATCCATAAAAAAAGCAATTATATAAAGACAAGATTATAAAATAATTGGCAAAATAAAAAATTTATTAAAAAAAAAAAAATTAGTGATCCATAAAAAAAGCAATTATATAAAGATACTATTTCTAGTTTTTATTTTTATAATATATGCGATAAGATTTTTACATAGTGGAGTTGCATCATTTGTGTATTTTAATTTTTTATATAATAGAGTTAATCAAGTAAAAAATCTTTTATGTTACGATATGTTTGGTTGGTAAAAATAAAAAAAAAATATTGTGAATCCTACACCAAAAAAAGAAGTCAGTGCCTACAAAATTCTCACATGATGATGAGGGCATAAATTATCACTTAGATCGAACTTTTATACGGTGGGAAAAATAAAAAATAAAAAATTCAAAAAATATGAGACTAAAATCCATATCATAATGTATATATGTTATTTATTTATTTATTTATTTATTTGTAATTTAGATTGAACTTTCATATGGTGGTTTTTATAAATAAATTTGTCAAAAAATATATGTAGACGTCCCCGAACGTTCCGGGAGGGTGAGCTCCCGTTCTGTTCATTTTGGGGTCACTACAGCTCGGACTCGATTTGTGTCACAGTTCTTAATCTGAACCAAAGAGTACAAATCTGGCAAATCGTTTTGAGAAACAGATTTTGAAAAGAAGTGCCAAACAATCCACATCATGATGTACATATATATATATATATATATATTTTTCCATTTATAATTTAGATTGAACTTTATTTGGTGAGAAAAATGAAAAAAGTTTTTCATAAAAATATAAGACTAAAATTTAAGCTCCGTTTGGGAAGTTGATTTGTGGGCTTTTTTTCGGCTAAAATAGTCACAAAAAATAAAATAGGTTTTTTGGCCCAATAAGACAAAACATCAGATCCAACTCATAATCATTACATTCTTCCTCTCACAAAAAAGTCAAAAAAGTCAAAAGTCCTTCCCAAACCAGGCCTTTTAACCCCAGGCTAAAATAGCCAAAAAAGTCAAAAAGTAAAAAGCCAACCCACTTCCCAAACGGAGCTTAAATCAAACAATAATGTATACATGTTTTTTTTTTAAAAAAAATTTAGATTGAACTTTATATGGTTGAAATTTTTTTAAAAAAAAAATCATAAAAATATGAGCGTAAAATCCACATCATAATGCATACATTTTTTTGTTGTTTTATTTGCAATTTAGATTGAACTTTTATATGGTGGAAAAAATGAAGAAAAAAATCATTAAAATATGAGCATACAATCCACATTATAATGTATAATGTATATACATTTTTTTTTTTTGGTTTTATTTGTTATTTTTTTAATCAACATGATCAACAAAATGGAAATGTAATTTTTTATTAGTTCTAAACAGCTAATTAATGAACATAAAAATATAAATAATAATTGAATACAATTTTTTTACTAAACAATTACAAAATTTTTACTTTCAAAAAAATAAATAAATAAACAAATAAACACTAATAGAACACTTACAGGAGAAGAAAATTTATTGTGTTAAACAACCCCTTGAAAAGTTATTAGTTCTAAATAGCACAAAATTGTAAAGCAACCTGCAAAAAATATAATAACCTGACAACAGGTCATCCCAAAAAAAAAATTCAGGATCTACAAAATTCTCACATGGTGGGAAAAATTAAAAAAAATTCACATCATAATGTATACAATTTATTATTATTATTATTATTATTATTATTATTATTATTATTATTATTGTTATTATTATTATTTAGATTGAACTTTTATATGGTGGAAAAAATGAAAAAAAATCATAAAAATATGAGCTTAAAATTAACATTATAATGCATACATTTATATATATATATATATATATTTTAATCAACATGATCAACAAAATGAAAATGTGAATTTTCCATCCGGAAAGTATTAGTTCTTGAAGAGTCAAATGTGGGTTACCTTATGTTGGTTGTCCCACATTAAAACATTAAGAGAGCGTGTATGAGTATATAAACTCTAGGTGGACATACTTGGGTTGAGTCCCATGGGACACCCCAAGTTTTGTAAGAATGGGAGTTACGGACAAAGTGGGATTTGCCCAAAACCACCACGTGCGCCATCGCAACTGTTCGGTCGAGCCGGGCACAAGTGCGTTGTATGGGTTATGGGTCGGGTCCTAATTTTAATTTTTTGGACAAAATTCATTTGAATATTTTCAAATTCTTGCGGAAAATTCGAATTTGCTTGGAACCAGTGCCCTCTCCAGTCGTCTCTCTTCCTTTTCTAGCGATTCACATTTTCACACTTGTTTAAAGGGTTTCTGCCCTTCCGAACAAACACCTCCATGCCTATAAATACCAAACCTTCCAGCAAATTCATTTCATCCAATTCTTTTCCGTTTTCCTTTTCTTCCTGCATTTATTCTTCATATTAGTTTATAGAATTTTCAGATAGTTGCAGAACTCAGGCTTGATTTTCTTGATAGATTGTTTGTAGTGCTACTACAATCTGTGTTGTTGATTATTGTATCTTAGGAGATAGACGCGAATAAACTGTGAGCACCTGTGAGGCGGCAATCTGTCTTAAGGATAGAGTGTCATACACTCGACTTGATATTGCCTTTTATGTTCGCTGGATTTCCTGTTCTAGCTTTCCGGACCCAGAACTTCTAGTAAGTACTTTATTTATTTTGTTTTAGCATTCATTTTATTTTTTTTATACAGAAGATTGTTCCAACAGTATTTTCAAAATCTGAAAATGTAGAAAACATTTAGATTACTTCAGACTTTTAAAATAATAGTCGATATAAAAACACAATTCAAGAGAAGTTTTTGTCGTGAATTTTGTACATTTAAAATAATTCTATGCATAAAATAAAGAAAAATAGTATAAAAATAATAATAATAATCAATGAGGGACTTTTGGCCAAATATCCCTATAATAATCTCTAGTAGTACCATCGGTTCTTTCTTTTTCATCCTTACAAGTTTTAGGTGACAGCGGTGTGTATTGTTTTGGCTTTTGGTTAATGTTTCGAGATTATCTTTTGTTATACGTAAATCCTTTTATTATGATGCGGCATTGGTTTTTGTCTTAATTAGGTTGCGTCTCCGGGGTAATTTGAAAAGACTGGCTTTTTAACTGTTTTTTTTTAGCTTTTTAATTTTTTTTGTCACACTACCTCTTTACTTTTTTATTAAAAAAAAAAAAAAATCAAAACAGCCAAAAAAAATCACTTTTTTACCATTTTCTCAAAATACCATTGTGTCTCCCGCTACTGTTCTCCCTATTGCACAACAAACGGCGCAGTTCTCCCCCGGCGGGAAAAGTAATCTCTTCAATCTCTATTACTTGCATTTAGAAAAACAAATTGAATAATGATCCATTTACTGAATTTGTTTTGTTCGAATCTACCTGAATGAGTCTCTACTTAGAAAGAGACTTGTGGAACTAAACAAATTTGATAGATGCAGTGGTGTTGAAAAAAATTTATTTTTTTAAGGTTATTTTACTCTTTTACATTGTAAACGAAACAATATACTTTTAAAACAATTTTAAGATAAATTAGAATGTTTGGTTTCAATTTTCTAAATTTATTTTTCTAAAAATTGAGTTTTTTGTTTTTTGTATTTTTTTTTATTTTTAGTGAATATTTTTAAAATTAAGTAATTTTTTTT